GAATAACAGTTATAGGTATTCAAAAATCAGCGGATTTTCTGGATGGCGCGAAAGCCTTTGACAAGATATGGCCAGCAGGCCTCCTTTATAAACTTATTCAAAATGGTTTCCGTTTTTGGTCATTAAAACTACTCAAATCCTTCCTTTAAGGAAGTTCAGAATCAAAATTAACAATGTATTTTCTACAACACGGTGCATTCGAGCCGGAGGTCCGCAGGGACCAGTCTTAGGACCACTCTTGCACTCGATTTTCCACGACAGGCTGCAAGAAGGGATGGACGAGGTTTCAGGGCTCGCGCAGACAGACAAGCGTTCAGCATTCAGCGCTCAAGTCGCGTTCGTCAGCTCAATTCCTCTTTGAGTTCCAACGCAGACAGGAGGCAGTCACGAACACTGCGTTCCATTTTACGAAGATGACTTGTAGGTGAAACATGTATTTCGATAGTTCGTATTCAGAAGACGAAGCATTGCTTTTGTGGAGTTTGGAAGAGCCTGTGATATAGATGCAAAAGGAGAGTTCAGTGTTCTTTTTCCTGCGTTTCTTGAAGAATGTCATTAAGCGGTTTCATTTTTTTAATTGCATGACCATATAAAACAGGAAATAAAGAAACGAGGCACCAATTGAAGAAAGATTGGCAGTATTATCCCATATCCGTGGCTATTTCTAGCCATGCCACTATGTTAAAGCTATTTTCATATTCTGGGTTACCAAGATCATATAAAAATGCTTTTCCCTTACTAAGGGCCGATTTCACCAACATTAATATTATGAACCAATAGAAAAATACCTTATCGAAATGCAATTTGACGGAAGCTGTCAAAGGTCTCAGAATAACAGTGATTTCTATTAAAATGTTGAATAAAACCGTGAAAATTCGACTGTATTATAAACAAGACCACTTTTTGATTCCAAAATGATGCTGTTGTACAGAGAAAACAGGACAACTTTCATGTATTTTGACTTATGTTATAGGTGTTCATTTGACCATCCGTTATCCCCTCAGCGAATGGAAATGGGAGAAATAATAGGTCGATTTTCTAGCTGTTAAATTTGGCAACAGGTTTGGTCGCTTGTTAATTAATGGCAATCTCGAAATTTGTTAAGTTCAATATACTGTGTGTTATAGCTACACATACCTGTTGAATTGTGCGGATTTGCAAAAAATAGAATATAAAATGTATTCCAACCAATTCCTCATCTCTCTTTACATCATAATAGTAATCATTTGTTATAAATTCATGGGTTAATGAACTTCTTCAAAGCAATCAAAATAGTATGGTCGTCCCCATCCTAAAACACCGATATGTGTAAAACATGTTAATCCCTACATCTCCGAGGTGCATAATGCAATTACTGTAGACAATTACTGATAAATAAGAGCTAAAAATAATTATAAATAATGATAAAATATTGGTGGTTAAGGTTCTTGACTGGTGACTGGTGGGGATACAATATAGAGATGGCGACGACCGACGATACATTGATGTATCGAAAACATCGATACGTCGGACGTAGAACATCGATCTTTACGCATCGATGGTTTCATGACGATATATCGATATCGAGAGCAATCATAAACATCCGTAACCGTATACCCCGAGTCTATCCTTAACTGTGCTACCATTTCTAAGCGAGGACTGGTAGCTTCGAAATTGAAAGGCCAGAAAGCTATTTAGGTGTTTAGTAGTATTTGAATATTATCATTACAGACGAGCACTGAGCCAGTGAGTGGCCACTGTAGTATTTTCTTCATTCGGTACTTCCCCAAGGGATACAATAAAATAGACTGAAAACAGCGCGTTTAATGATTTTCAGTTCTCAGAGAAAGATTTTCCCCTGCCGGCCCTTGATATCGTTTCGAAATATGAAATTCTGGAAACGCTATAAAAATAAAAATGAATACACAAAGCCTACTTACCTATTTCAGACAAAAACAAATACAACTGCCACATAACGATTGTCATATTGACATCATTCTGCAATCTGTCAAAGTAGTGATGGGCGTGCCTGCTGCACGGTATACGGTATCGATATTCGATAAAATATTTTTCTTTCTACCATGAATGCGTGGAAAAAACAAAATAAGGAAAGATCTAAAATAAGGAGTTATTGAAGGCCTAAAATAGCCAGGCGCTAATAATTCTTGGCCGTATTTGAATATCCAAGCAGGCACAGTAAAACGAAAATAAGACTTGGAATTAATAAAGTTTATTTCGACAGCTGGCAGAGTTTGCTCCACTGGGACGACGTGCTGACGGATCCCAGAGAATTATGTGTCACTTGTCGATATGGTTAGTTTCAAAATATCTGGAGATAATCAGCTGTTATTCAAATCAGTGTATATGTTTTGTGATTCAAATAACGTGTGATATAAATATAACCCAGAATATGTACCCAGTGAAAAAAGGAAAATATTGCAAATTTCTAGTTTTTCTGCAGGTTTTAGGTTTGCTGGTAGCTCTACGACATATATTTGGGTATTTCTTAATCGCTGTGAATATAGTGTGGATGTTTGTTAAGTTCCTGTACAACGAAAAATATTCAACTTTATGGATGTATGGATATTAAAAAACCAGAATGGTTTTGTGGGAATATATAAGGGGCCATAATGGTTCTGATGAACGCAAGTAAATGAATAAATGTTTGGAAACAAGCAATATCTATGAACTTTTTGGTAGAGCCAGTCATCAAGTAGGTGCTTAATGGCTATCTGCAAGAGGTTTATAGGAAGAGACACCCAGTAGATGATCTTGAATCAGTAAAATCGCATATCAATTGAAAAAAATAATATAAGCATGAATAAAAAATCAACAATAGTGATTAAATCATGAATTTTATTCAAAAATCAAACATTTGTTTAAATTTAGACTGAATTATATGTAATTTCTTAATATTCAATAAGCTGATGATGTTTCAATGACAAGATGTCATCTCATACTTTGACAGTATTTTGTTTTCAACATTTCATAGCTATTGGTTGCTAAAATTTGTTGATTGGAACTTGAAGCTCATTCGCTGTAGTTGACGGGCTGGATGGAGGATAACGGACTGTTGTTGGTGAAATTGGCCCTAAATCAGTTAATTTTTCTATGGAAGCAATTTTGCGAACGAGGCGTGCACAATAACTAGTGCGGTCTGATTGCCGCTGTGTCTGCGCGACTCTATACAGATCTATTAGTTACAAAGAACGTGGAGTGCAGAATGCGGAACTCCGAACGCTTGACCCTTCCTGTCTGCGCGAGCCCTTAGAGTGGGCGAATCAGTGGCTGATCAAAACTAATTTTTCCAAGACACAGGCTATCTATTTTACAAAAAGATCCGGGGTCTCCCGTCAGAAATTATTGTGGATGATGTTTCGATACCATGAGCTAGCAAAACCAAATATTTAGGTTTTACACTAGACAATGGTATGACTTGGCACACTCACATCGAACAACTGAAAATTAAATTCCAAATTACATTTCGGCAACAGTATCATATTTCATGTAGAACCTAAAAATTGAGTTTGGTCAATAAGATCCGGATATACCAAACCATCCTCAAATCTACAATAACCTACACATGTGCGGTTTGGTGCTTTTTAGTTAAGTCACTTATGCGTAAACTACAAGTTAGACCGTTAAAATTATAGTTTTTAAAAACCAAACACCCAAAGTTCTGGACCGCCTTAAGAAGCAGCGACGAGTAGCTAGGTATTCAAAAATCAGAGGGTTGAGAACGGTTCAAAGATTGATTTATTTTTACCTGGCCCCTCCGAAAAATGTAATTAATGTAAACAACAATAACAATAACCTGTTTATTGTAAGCGCACCCTATTCAATGTGTTAATTCATAGGTTAGCTAATCATAATTTGAAGGGCACCAAAGATACGACAAAGATAATCAAACATTTGGCTGTACCGTCATGATTTGCACTCCTGAACCAGATCGTAGAATGGCTCGTGCGAGACGAGCACGCGTCACTTTAGGTGATATTTTGCAATGAGTGGATTCCGTCGACTCGAACTAAATGAAATCATAGAATTGCAATGCGTCCAAGAAACAGCGAAAAATATGGAGTGGAAACGGCTTTTAGCAAATTGATTCTGAATTGATGGCGAACACGATGAAAATGCAACAGCAATACGTTATTTTTTGTGCGCAAGCTGTTGGTAGCAATATTAAAAAGCGCGTACTACGTTTATCCGCATTTAGATCAGCTGCATTTTGTTTCCAGTTGTAAAAGGATGATTCAGTATTTATTTCGTGAGTATTTATGCCATATTAACGATAATAAAATCTGCGGACTATAGGACCAGATCAAGTTAATAGGCAAGAAGTGTATAGAAGTACAAGTTCTCTTATCAATTGTGCGTTGCCTGAAGCAATGGACTATAGGCATAAACGACTCGGTCTGGCCATCTAGCTTATTAACGTTTTGCCATTACTTCCACAAATGACAGCGACTTTAGGAACCAAATTGTACATGCTCTTTCCTTAGTAATTAATAATTTTTCCCATTTCGCATTCCGTCATTAGCTTTCCTCGTCTAGTATCTTCAGCTGGCTAGGCTTGGGAGGAAGAAAGATCCTTCATCTGCTCGGCAAGAGTTCAAGTCCTGTAGGATACTACCATTAATATATCTATTAATGAAGGAGGTGACGATCCGGGAGTTTGTCAGCTGAACTGACGTTGCCTAAATGCTTTGGTCAAACAAGGGTGTTAGTAAGAGCCTATTCCTCCCGAAGATACTTATATACTTATAAAAAATCTATACCTACCTTTTTTAGTTGACAGCGTTGCCACCTCTCAGATTCTTGGCGCAGGTTATGACATTTCCCTTTCCGCTGTTGAAAAATTCTGAGAATACGAAATATTTGGAATAATCACGAGGGAGGTTGAGGAAGGGTGTTAATGTCATTTTTAAAAAATAAATGATTTTCTTTAAAGGGTAATTGGAATCGTTTTGTTGTTTGTTGTTGTTGTTTTTATTACAACATATTTGAATAACAGATTAGAAATGGTTGCCATAAACAATTTCACACCAGAACAAAGGCAGGTAAGGACATTAGTGCCACAAAGGTCTGTTTGCTTTTTTTATTTTTTTCCAAAACACGCCAAGATAGTGTAACTAAGGCAAATCGGTTGGTGCAGTGTTAAAGGTGCTACCTCCAATAGTAAAAAACTAAATGGGAAAAACGTGAAATGGGATTACTGCCTTCCCACAAAAATTGGCAACACATCAATTAAACATGTTAATTCTAGTTCTTAGGTGTGGTTATTGACAGTAAAATGACCTAGGAAAATCGTCACCACCACATTAACCTATACTACAATCTTCATGGTTAAACAGCTACGAATATCTTTTGATCCACTTCGAATTTTATACTTAGCGCTTCATCAGTCAACACTTCCTTGTCACCTTCACAGTTCATGCTTTTAAAGTATTTAGTACGGAAAAATACCATTCCATGCTTAAGTACAACAACAGACTGCAAACCACTGTTCAGTATGGTCTTTTGACTTTGCCTTGCCTATATGTTGTATACCTCCTGATAACCAACATAAAAGAACAAGAACAGTACACAAAATATAACATACTGTATCAATTTGATACAAGGAGTTATTGCCACAGCATGTGTCAGGAGTTTAGGCCATAACAGTCACATTTACATGGATAGACACTGCCATAATAAAGTTCTCCATACCCAAATAATGCATGTTAGTGTATATTTCAATTTAATTAATTTTTAAACCTTTTTTTGTGATGTGATTGTCTACTATATGCTTTTGTTGATGTTATACATATTTAACAGTTCTCTGCACGACGCACGCGGTGCAACTACAGATATTGTGCTCAATGCCGGTTTCTGCGACGTAAGGACCCTCTGCATATGACTTGATGTACTCCAAAAATTAATGCCATATTTTACTCTAGAAGCAAACTGTGCATTATAATATCAAATTACAGCTGTAATTTGTAAAATTCCACTGTCTTGTATTCGTAACTGTAACGCTGGTAAGCTATGGATAGGCTAATAACTATACGTGTCGACTGTCTTACCTGGTACCACAATTTCAACCTAGCCATTAAGTACTCTGTGATATTAAATTTACTGCTGTCGACAAAACTAATACTACAATAGCCAACAGTAAATGGTAGCACTTTTTGCATTTAGCAAAGTCTTTCCATTTACGAACAAGAATTTCGGTAAACTCTGTTTTACGACTTCTCCCCAGAACTGTTAGGAATGATTATAGGACCTTAATTTTCTTAAAGCGTTATACCTGCCAAAATAGGATTACATCGTCATATAAATGGCAAAGTCTGCAAACCTGTAAAATAATACTGGAGATTACGAACCCAACAACGGTTCCTAGGCCAGGGAAATCCAGCTGTATTCTTTTGTTTGCAGTTACCAAACACTCAGTCTAGTTATTTCGAGCCGGCTGACCGGTGATACTATCTGTAAGCCGATGATGACTGTATTATGGTACCTTGTCAAAACATGTTGCACGTGCAACTTGGGTGGCTCAGTGTTTCGTATCCGATAATTTTTGTCTATATTGAGTCTCGTTCCATTCACTTTCCAGCCCATAGACTATGGCCGTATTAAAACCATAAAAAATGGCGACAAGTAAGTTGACTCTGCACTTTTTAAGCAACGCAGACTAAAGAATAATGTATGGGATAAGTTAGCCCTGAGAAAAATGTATGCTAGGAACACGTATGAAAAAAAATTAAATGATTTTGCCCCTCCCCCTGGGAAAAATTCCTGCAGGTGCACATGATCTCTGCGACGACCAATCCCGCGTGAATGACGATATCTGTCTTCACGATGCACAGTACGCATAGCCCACGGCAGTGCGGAAGCTACAACGGTTTTTCGTCTTTCGCATAGTTGTAATCGGTGTGAAAATTTCATGAAAATTGGACCGGTACTTCCCAAGATATAGCGGGGTCAAGGATTAGCGGACAGACCGACAGGCCAACGGTAATGAGTGACATAGTATACTAAGTGACATATAAATCCGAACACCCAGTTTAAATGGTTTTATTTTAATAAAAGTTGGTGAATGTATTTATCTTACTGTAAATAACAAGTGAAAAAATGTTCAGCCTTATCAGTTGGACATTCCGGTTTTTATACTGCTTTTTTTTACTTCACTAACGCTCTAAAAATGAATATTTCAGCCGCAGTAAAGAATCAACGTTGGCGGATTTTGGTTCTTGACATCCTTCACGATCGGTTACGATGCCTAGAGTACGGACACCTGTACGATTTCGTCAACTTAGTGAGTTTGATAGCGACCGTATAGTGGGACTTCGGGAAGCTGGACTTTCTTTTCGGGCAATTGCAGTTAGAGTGCAATGAAGTGTAGACACTGTGGTTAGGTGTTATCAGGCATGGCTTCGAGAAGGCCGTACGCAAAGAGCAAGGGGCACTGGACGCCGCCGTAGAACAACAGACCGTGAAGATCGCCGCCTAAGATTATTGGCCTTGAGGGACCGTTTCTCCACTATTGGCATGCGAAGTGTTTACCGACGAATGAGAAGTTTTGGCTTGTTTTCATACCGGCCACACTGGGTCCTCCCTTTAACTCGAGAACACCGACGTAATCGCCTTGAGTGGTGCAGACAACGGTCACTCTGGGATCAGGAATGGAACAGTATTGTCTTTAGTGACGAGTCTCGATTTTGTTTAGGCATGCACGATGGTCGTGCCAGGGTTAGAAGGCGACGTGGTGAAAGGAGGAATCCACAGTTTTTTGTTGAAAGACATGTTCATCACACTGTTGGAGTTATGGTTTGGGGTGCTATAGCTTATGGTTCCAGGTCACCTTTAATCTTCATCAAAGGTAACCTGAACGCGCAGCGTTATATCCACGAAGTTCTATAACCCCATCTTTTACCCTATCTTGACACCCTGGCAGATCCAACTTTCCAACAAGATAATGCCCGACCACATGTTGCAAGAGTCACAATAGACTTCTTTCAACATAATGATGTCACATTGTTACCATGGCCACCAAGATCTCCCGACTTATCCCCAATTGAGCACGTGTGGGATATGATGGGTAGGAGATTGCTCAATTTGCAACGTCCTCCTCAGACTCTAGAAGCACTTCAAGAGGAGTTGGTGGTTGCCTGGAATGAGATACCACAGGAGGACATTGACCACCTAATTAGAAGCATGCCTAGGCGCGTTGGAGAAGGCGTAGCACATCAGGGTGCATCCACACATTATTAAAGGTCAAAGGGCTTTAAAGCAGTGCAATCATTTTGAAATTTTTATCATTTACTTATTATGCTTCATTAAGTACTTATAGAAAATTTTATTAAAATAAAACCATTTAAACTGGGTGTTCGGATTTATATGTCACTTAGTATATTTCGTCATGTACATCTCATATAACATACAAAAGACATGATATCCAACACCTAATGTTGTTATTAACATACAAGTCATCGAAAAAGAGTTAGTTAGCGAGCTGTCTAACAATATGTACTCGCTGCACTGCAACAAATTGGACATATTGAAGGTCTGACCTAAGCTTCGGCCACATTCGGCCAAAAATACACCTTCTGCCACACATTCGTCCTTCCGTCAAAAAAGAAGATGTCGAACAGCCTGTAGTTAGTGCCAGTGTGTGCCAAAGTATATTATACTTTTTCAGATGATCAATCCTAGGCGACAAACATAAGAAGATAGAAAAGCAGTTTATGGTGTTGGTATGCCCTGAATTTTTTGTACTCCTTTTAGTTTTCCTCAAAAACCCATTTCATAATTATAATTTAAATCGATTGGATCCATTTAACTAATTTCACTGACAAGAAATAAAGCTACTCGAATAGTCGGTGTGTTCTGAAAATTGAAAGCAAAGCAAAATATAATTATTATAATTTTTACTTCAAATAATGTTATTTTATTGTAAAAGACTTTTTTAACAACTTTTCATTGCGAATTGCAGTGTTTTTATTAGCAGCACCGTACATGCACCGTACTTTGAGTTCTACAATGTTCTTTCTCTTAGGTATATGTTAATATGAGACGTCGCTCCAATTTAAATGGCATCTCTTACCTTTCTGAGATATCAACGCACATCACTTGCGAAGAGTTTTACATTATCTTAGTCTGCATGGAACAGATTCTACTGAAGTTAGGTATTCAAACTTTTGTCTAATTTTAGCAGATTGGATACAGTGTTACATAAAAACCGGGGATACAATACTCGTAGAGTGAGAAGGTCATGCGGAGAAAAGTACTTCTTAGCCCTAAAAAAATAGCATAGCTTTTTCCCGGCATCTGCAGCTATTGACGAGATGTGTTCGTGCCAGATCAGGTCCTCGGCAGAACTCGGCCGTCCATCGAAACTGGATGAGCGCTGGGACGTTTTTTGTCCGTCAAAGTACAGTACTGTGTTTTGGAAGCATTAAACTGTACAAGATTGTTGCGCTCCCAAGCAGTGAGAGCCTCCAGGTCACTTGTCAGAGAGGAAGTCGTCGCTAGTCTTCTTTTTTCAAGCTCAGCGGCAGAGATCGACTTGTCACTCTGAATTCCTGCATGTAGAGTACTGTCATCAGCGAAGCTGTGGATTCGGTTGATCGTGCAGGAAAGGAGGTCGTTGATGTTGATATGTAAGGAGAACAGTGTTGGAGCCAAGACAGATCCCTGGGGAACACCCGCGTTGACGTTGTGGGATGAAGAGGAGAACCCGTCAATTACGACGGATATCTTGCGGCCAGAGATAAAGTCAGCCACCCATCTGCAAAGCTTTTCTGGGAGGCCATAGGATGGAAGTTTGCCTAGAGGGCAGCCTGCCGCAGCTGATCGAACGCTTTGGTGATGTCAAGAGCAACGACATGAGCCTGACCATAAGACTGGATGAGTTTACTCCACAATTGCGTGACGTAAGCTAGGAGGTCCCTTGTGGATCGATGGTGCTGGAAACCATACTGCTTGTCGCTAATCAAGCTGAGACGTTCGGGTTAGTCCAAACGCTGGCGATTTATACACCTCTCCATCACCTTACCTATAACGGAAAGCATAACTATAG